TGAAAATAAATTATGTAAATGAAAGTGTGGGATGTAGCTCTGCAAACGACATTAAGATGACTCGGCTCACAAGTGCCTCAGAGAATGTTTTATTATTATTATTATTATTTATGTTTTATTCTCATTCCCTAACACCTGTGGAAGAAAATACTTTAGCAAAGGTATTTACCCAGAGAACCATAATGAGAATCAATCACATGATGAAATGAGACCCTGGATTTCACCACCCTTCACCTGGAACCAGTTATTTCCCATGAAATCTTTTCAACCGCCAGAGAGACTCATTAAGATTCTGCTGGTGTTTTATGTAACAATATTCCAAAGCTACAGGTCTACTTTCTATCTCCATTTTCCCTGATATTATTATGACTTTTTTGTTTTTTGGGTCAGTATCTCACTGGTTGCGGGGGTGGGGGCTGGATAGCCTGGAACTTGCTATGTAAAACAAACTGGCCTTAAATTCAGATAGATCCACCTAATTCTACTTCTTGAGGGCTAGAATTAAAGGCATGTGCCACCACAACATGCTAAAAAAGACTTACAACCTAAGATCCTTAACTATCAGATGCTAAACAAAATCATCTTAAGGAGGTTCTTCCAAAATTATCGAAAATTAAAATTGAAAAACCAAAGATTTTAAAATCTGTTTTCAAGAAATAATTTGCTATCAAATCCCTTTTGCAAAAACCAATAAGTGAATTCACTCCACATAGGGATTTGTGCACTTAGACGTGTTTTCTAAATGACTCTGGTTTTATTTACTCTGCGCAGTTGGCAGGTAGACAGTTCTGCTATTAAGGGATCATCTCCCTGGGGATAGACCTAGCTTGCTGATTGGCTCCTCTGATCTTCAAAATGCATCATAAACTGCTTGGGGTTCAATGAACTATGTGCTTTTTACCTGAAATCTGTACTTCAGTGCTTTCAAATAGGAAAGAGTTATTTGTTATTAATTTCTAAGAAACCCAAAGTAATCATCTACAGCAATTCTTATAATAATTCAAACCCACATATCTTTCTGCTTTGGACATGCTTTACACACTGGGAAGCTCAGGCATTTATCTTTATTAACTCATTTGTGTTTTCTATGGAATATACAGTTTTTAAACTTTTATTGGACTTGTGTGTGTGTGTGTGTATGTATATATATATATCTAGAGAGAGAGAGAGAGAGAGAGAGAGGTGCACATGTGTATGTGCTTGGGTGTGCATGTGTGGAGGTCATGGGTTGGAGGTTCAAGGACAATCTATGGGAGTTGGTTCTTTCCTTCACAATGTGGGTCCTAGGAACAAAACTCAGGGTATCAGGCCAATACCTTTACCTGCTGAGCCATCAGTTGGCTCCAGAATATATTTTAAATATATTATAAAAAAATGAAGAGTATTTAGATAATATGAACTGTGGGGAATACAAGAGCGTATACAATACTAAAGGAGAAATGTAAAGAGAACCAGAAAGAAAGGCAAGAACACAGAAGGATTTCTTCTAGCATGACCAAGACTGACCATCTACCAAATGCATATGAGTTGGAAAGTGCTCAACAGTGCATTAAACATTGTAAGGAAATTGAGGAGGAATTAGGTTGCCAGGAACAGCGACAACACTAGAAAAATAATGAACCCTAGGAATTTAATTGTAGGTTTCAGCACTATAACTACCGGAAAATATTTAACAAGCCATTGAAAATTGAGTTTGTTTGGGAGTTCAAAATCAGACACTCCAAAAATCTCATAAGTCATAGAAATGTGAGAGCTATCCTGAAGAAACTTTTACACAGTAAGCCGAGATAAAAATTAAAAAGAAAACTAATGAAAGACATTAACATTAAGACCTGGGAGGCAGAAGAGAAACTTAAGGTTATGGTGAGTCTAGAGAGGAAGGTTCCCATGCAATTTATGGGAAATAAACATTTACTTTCCCTAAAAAAACAGTAGATAAGGATTGGTTCTGTCCAACAGGATGAGGATGTGTATGATGACAACTGAGGTGTGGTCACTACCTTGATCACATCAGAGTAGTTTTACAAATAAAAACTAGAATCCAGTTAGTTGAAAAGAGCAAAATAAAGAAAGAAATCCTGATGGAGTCCAGGACGGCCAGTAAAGATAAATAATGAGAAGCAGAGGGTAGAAGAGGAACTAGAAGGGTAAAGAAGTATCAAATTGAAAATGTGAAATTTAGGGATTATTATTTTTAATTACATGTGTATGTATGTATGTGTGCATGCATGTATCTGTGTGGAGGTATGTGTGTATGAGTACAGGTGCCACAGAGAACAGAGGATCTCGATCACCAAGGAGCTGGACTTACAATGGGTTGTGAGCCACCCAGTGTGGGTGCTGGGAACAAAACTCAGGTCCTCTGCAAGAGCAGTATACACTCTTAACTGCTGATTGAAAAGTCATCTTTTCAATCACACAAAGCATTTTAGGATGAGAGAAGCATGAAACTATTTTGTGAAGAGGAAATAAGAAACCTTTTCTACAAAAGAAACAGTTGAAAAAAAATATATTCAATCACACGTTTCAGAAGGCATATATTTTATATCATAAAGTCTAAGAATCCCTTTTGATTGAAGAAAGATATATTGTTATGTCTGAAGCACATATACTTTCTTCTTTGAATGCAAGGCAACTACCGTGATAGGGACTACATTTTAGCATCTTTGAACACATCTTTGAACATTCATCTCCATGGAAATGTCTCTAACTTTGAATATTCATCTCCATGGAAATGTCTCTAACTGCTCAGGTATTACACTCTCTGAAGAGCAGTTTCAACTAAAACAAACAAACAAACAAACAATCAAGAAACACAGAAATTATTTCCCAGGTAAACGGTAACTCATTCTTATGCCCAATAAAAGGAAGGGAGGCCTTTTTCCCAGGTATATGATACTGGGTAAACGCAGACATGGTCTTTGGAGAATAGAAGCATAGAAAAGGTGCTGAATAGAGTGATCACATGTCCTTAGATAGACAGGGAAGAAGAGAGAAAACAATTCTTGTCCCACTCTCCAGTTCCCGCCTTCTAACCAGATATCCAAGTCTTGCCTCATATCTTTGAGATGTTCCTCCTCCCTGTGAATGAGTAGATTCTACTCTTTCTTTCTAACAAAACAGTCATGCTTAGAAGCCATGTTTCTTTTCCTGGTTCTTCCAAGAACATTTAGAAAATTTCCAATAGCAAGCTATGCACACATATTCACAATGCCCAATCACAATGCTATGAGCCTTTTGCAGAAAAGAAACATTCTCAGTGTCCAGTCTTAATGCTATGAACCCATCATAGAGAGCAACACATTCTCAATATCCAGTCATGATGCTGTGAACCTATCATAAACCAAAAACATTCACAGTGTCCAGGCACAATGCTATAAACGTTAATAGAGAACAACACATTCTCAATACAAAGGCACAACACAACGAATTTATTACCAAGAGCAACACATCTTCAATACCCAGTCACAATGCTACACACCCATCAGAAAGAGCCGATGGTATAGCCACCACACTGACTTCCACTAATGGGAAGCAAACAGCATATTAGAGCATTTTTTTTTTTAATTTATAGAAAAGTTACCACTTGGATGGTTCTTTTTTTAATTCTTCACGTGATTTTACCCTGTTCTTTATTACATAATTAAATGTTATACTTCTTTTAGTGAACTAGAGGAAAAAGTGATTTTTTAACTACCCAAATCCATCTCCTAGATTGTGATTAGCTCCGAAGTTTCTCTCTCCTTTCAATCACAACATCACTCTCTCTAAGCTACAATGGATGTTATATGCCCAACTACTCTATTTACAGCACTCAACAAAGGATGCTCTAGCTGCCCTCCCAATGCCTAATTCTATAGCTGTGCACTCAGATTTCCCTTTGAGCCCTGCTGAACCCTTTCCAGAATGTTGCTGTGCCCCATCCTCACTTCGCCCTCATATTATGGTTTCAATGTTAAATGCCCCTCATATGCTCATATATTTGAACAATCGGTCCCCAGTTGGTGGCTTTGCTTGGGAAGGGTGATGAAATCTTTAGAGAAGTGGAGCCTTGTTAAAGAATATGTCACTGGGGCCATCTTCAGGGTTTCACAGCTTGGTCCCATTTCCTGTGTGTCTTCTGACCCCCCCCCCCAATTCCCTTTCGTGTGTAGTGGGTGAAATGTTATCAATCACTCTGCTTTCTGGTTGCTCAGCCTGCTTCAGGCTCCTCTTACCATGACTTCTCTGCCATTCCCTACTGTAAGCCAAACCAAGCCCCTTTCGACTCTAAGCTGCTGTTTGTCAAGGCATTGTATTTACCACAGCAGCAGAAACACACAGCCAGCAGACCTTGCTACAACACAGCCAGCAGACCTTGTTACTTGGTTTGATTGAATTTCAGTCTCTTATGTCAGTAACAAGCAGATAAAGTAGTATTTTGCTCAAGTATCTCACTCTCCTCTTCTTTGTTTATCCTGCTGGACATGCCAAGCTCTGGCTCTCTACAGCTCCCAGACCACATGCCACGATGGAGGTAACAGTTATGGTCTGGAGAATGGAGACTGAAGAAATGGACATTGAAGAAATGGACATGGCTTGACCTGAGAACGAGTATGTCTCACACTCTCAAGAAACTGGCATGTGAAGAAATTCTGGTGAACAACTGCACTCTAGGGAAGCAGGGCATGGTTCTGCCTGGAACCCATGTACTTCCCAGTGTCTCCGAAGTGCAGCCAACTAAGACAATCGGGTTCACTGTCTCAGTCTGTTCAACCAGACATACAGTAGATAACAAAATGGAAATACTGACCCATTCTATCTAATGAAGCTACTTTCTTTCAACAAGCTCCTTCTAAATGGGATTCTGGCATCCCTTAAACATATTACTTTTCTATAAAAAAAAAAAAAACACATCACATCAAAAGTCATGGACATTATAATTCTTAAATTGTCAAATGAGCATAAACATAGCAACAAATAATCATAAAACATATATAATAATAAAAATATGAACTTACATGTTTGGACAAATTGGGACTCTTTGAATCAACATCATATCTGAAAAATTAAAGTGTAAAATTCAAATTATTTCTATAAAATACAGCTGAAAATGATTCCTAGAACACACAAACATAGAAATTAATTTGAACAATAACCAATGCGACATTAAAAGTAACTAATTTTTAATTTATAAATAAGCTAATGATAGAATTGACACTTTTGGGTCACTTGAAAGCTACATAACCCAAGTATGAACTCCACTGTTTCAGAAGATGCAAATTTATCTTTTCTTTGAATCAGTGGTATCTAAATGCCACTCAAGTGACTTCAAAATCTCTTTAAAATGGAAAATTTCTTCTCTGAATATCAAAAACAAGCAGGTTTTTTTAACAAGCTATGCACATTATACACATTACAATTCTTACCTAATAGCTTAAATGCTGTTGTTAAAGGTTGGAAACTCACTGGAGTAACAGAAACCAGCTTTGCCCAATCACAGAACTTAGGGAAACTGTGTTTTTATAGAAACAAAAATGAATTTTGTACACAGAATTTACATGGGAATATGATAAGCTTTGGTTTTAACCAGTTGCTACAGGACAAAGATGATCTCCAAGAGCGAATCCAGGATGACTCCACGGTCTAGAGTTTATGGACATGGTCAAAACAACCTCAGTGTGCCAGGCTCTTTAATAAGATAATACTGATACCAGTCTGTCTCGAAACCAAAGCCTTTCACACGCATGCATAACTCCTTAACCAAGCTCAGGGCCACCTTTTAAGGTTAAAGTCTTCTCTCTCATCTTGACAGAATCTTTTCACAAAACAAAACATCTCAGTTAATGACAGGAAAAAAAAAGAAAAAGGATAAGAAAACAAGAGTTCACTGAGTGTAGTAGTGTGCCTTGAGTGCTCAGTGTACCCAGTAGAGCCAATATAGAGTCCAATATACCCAGTGTGTCCAGTGTACTTACTAATCCCAGAATGCCCATGAGAGTCATGAACTTTCAGGCGTCCAGGGCATACTGGGCACACTGGGTACATTGGGCATGCAGGGTCTACTGGGAACACTGGGCATATTGGGCATAATGCTTATACTGGGCATGCTGGGTGTATAAGGCATATTAATACAATGAACTACACTTTTTCCCCCTTTTTCCTTCTTCTCTTTTTTTCCTATTATTGATCATGATGCTTTCTTCTGTAAAAAGATTTTATTTAGGTGAGAGAAAACTTTAACTGACAGTCTCTCATTTGAGTGCATCTTAAAAATTATATTTCTGACAAAGAGGAACAGATGTTGGCTACAGTTATTTCTATATTTGTAGAACTGCAACTATCATCCAAAGTGAAATCTTATTCTAGGTATCCCAGGATGCACAGCTCAAGAGCTACCAATGGCCTTGGAAACAAACCAGTACACAGTCCAAGGACCAGTCTCACACCCAGTGACCAGTCCAGTATTCCTAAAGGGACAGGCCGTTCCCTCCTGTGCAGGGTTGAAGGGGAGTTTCCTTCTACTCTCCAAGATCATGGGATGGAGTTGGCTTCAGAATCTGGGCTACCGGTGAAGAGTGGAAGTCAAACCTTGCCTAGCTAGAGGTGGCATACCCACCCTTAGGGCTCCAGTGCAGGAGAACATCAAGAAAAGTTCTAGGAAATATTTTCTGTGAGCTGAGGCAGCTTCATTCTGGGTCACTCACTAGGAGAAGAGCAAGAGGCTTTCAGTGTCCCTAGGCTAGTCCTTAGGTAAACTCTGGATTTTTTTGGAGGATTAAAGGCCACATCTCTACCTACCAACACCCTCTCTCTTCCTGTACTTCCCTCTACCCTGGAAATTCTGAAAAAAAAAGTGAGAGAAGAGAAACAAAAAAATGTTTAAAAGTCCAGGGTCCCTGACGAATGAGCAAGATGGTTTACTAAACAAAAGGAGTTGAAGGTCCATGAAATTAGAACATCACATTGTCGTTACCCAAGGGAGAAGGTCCGAATGAACACAGTGGAACAATCAGAAACAAATAAAGTAATTGACTTGCCCCACAAAAATGTTGAGATCCTTCCAAGTAAGGGTATGTTAATGTTTTACATTTCATGGCTAGGTTACCACCGTCTGACTGATCAAGAAATATTTTATTGAGTCAGTCAAATCTAAACTCATGAATCTTTCTTGGGGGTTCAGGCTCCATGGCAAGGAATAGATAGGATCCTATCTCCTCTTTCCTGCACCCTGGCATATTTCACACAGTGACTGGACATTTGCATGCCTTGTTCAGAGTCACTGTGATACATGCAGCTTTTTCTATCAATAATAAAGTTTTCAACCACACTAGTAGTGTGTTTATGAGACAACTGTATTATTAGAGTGCTGGGAATAATAAAAGGAAACATCAAAGCTTTACACATTAAATGCATGAGACAAGGGGATTTTATGATGCAACATGATAAATATTAAGTGCATACAAAAAGTCAATCACAATCAGAACAGCAAAAGGTACATGGTATAGTCAGAATGGCAACAATATGGGCCAGTGGCATCATGAATTCAGGATCTATCTATCTATCTATCTATCTATCTATCTATCTATCTATCTATCTATCTGTCTGTCTATCTATCTATCCATCTATCTACCTATCATTTATCTATCTCTATGTTTATCCATCCCTCCTTCCCTTCTTCCCAACATTTTCTCTATGAACTGAAAAATGGAACCATCTTTCATAACATGCAGTTGCTACGATAATATGCTTTTTTCTGAGGTGCTGGACACTGAACCCAGGAACTCCATCACACAAGCAAGAGTTCTGCCATGGAGCCCCAGAGAACAGATGCTCAGGGCTGTGTTTTACTTATCTCTCTCTGATCCTGCACAGTTAGCTGTGTTGGTTAATCTTCATTCTCAACTTGCAATCACCTAGGAGACACATCTCTGCTTGCACTTCTGAGAGGGTCTAATCAGCCTTAACTGAGGAGGGAAGAAGACCCTTTCTGAATGTGTGAGGCTGGATTCCATGGCATGGGGCCCTGAACTAAGTGTAAGAGTAAAAGAGAAACTACAGGTAAGCACTTTCCTTTCTCTGCTTCCTGGTCAGCATCACAGACCCAGCTGCCTGTCCCAACATGCCATCCACACCAAGACAGACAGCACTCCTCTGAAATGTGAGCCAAAAGAAACCATTCCTCCCATAGTTGCCTTCTAAGGTATTTTGTCACAGTAATAAAAATACATCAGTAGAAATCAGCTAAATCCAAAACAATTCAGAAAGTCATTCGAAGCTATTAGCTGGTTCCTTAACACTGGTGTGCTATGGATGGATGATGGCTGGCCACTTCACACTGGTGTGCTGTGGAGGGAGAATCCTTGAAACCATTTTCTGGCCACTACACACTAGTGTGCCAAGAATGGGCATTCTTCAAATAGCTATCAGTATCATTGCATTGGATAGAATATTCTTAGCTCTCTGGGTGATGGAGTTGGGGATCACACTTGATTTTTTTCATTGGACACTTTAGTCTATTCATTGTGTTCTAATTGTCTAAAATTAGCATACATTTTTACAAGCAATATACATATATGAGAAATTTTAAAAGCCAATCACATGTATTACATACATATATATGTAACTAATGAAGTAATGAAGTCTTCCCTTACTTATTTTTCTTGAAAAAGATCACAGTATAAAAAAAGCCTGCTATCAAATTGAAAGTATTATACGAGACATTTCAATAAAATGAATCAACAGAATTAAATGTCATCAGAAATCCACAGGAATAGAGAGAAGGTGTGTGTTGCAGTTAACCCTTTTCGGCCCTACTTGTTTTAGTTATTCAAATATATAAAATTGAGATGTTATTTGAATTAAAATTCTGAGCTTTTAATGAGGTGCTATTAATTCAGTCTTGCAGAACACCTTCATGGTTCAAGGATTATTTGGTTTCTGTGAGAACCGTAATCTCCAGGAAGTTGAAGTGACAGTGTATCTATCATTCAGCCAGCCTTAGTTACTTCCTATTTATTTTATTTTATTCCTAAGTACTGATAGGCTGTCACACTGCTGTAATTGTTTTCTGAAAGAGCACAGCAATGGGTACCAGGTAAGGAGCAATGAACAGGACATGAACCCAAAATGCCAGTAAAGGGGACAAAGGGTGACAGTGGAGAAGAAAATAAATAAGCTGTCACCTGCAAGAGTGATGGGTGTCTGTCAACAGACGGCAACCAAAATCCCAGAGAAATGACTCAAACAATCAGAGCTAAAAAACTAGAAAAATAACAAAGACTGTACATATCCAGGGTAGTGTCAACAAACCAGAACACATAAACGTTGGTCTTGAGTGCTTCCTTTCATACTGAAATTTGACCCTCAAAACTGCAAATTAGAGTAATAATAAATCCCAACACTTTGCAAACAGGGATACTGCTCCAGGTTACCTACAGCAGAAGAGTATCGTTGGTGGAAATGAGCATCAATAAACAGTAAAATACATTTTCTTCTTGCAATAAAAATCATGTAGCCCTAAAAAGAAATGAAGTATACAGCTACTCTGTGGCATAGAAAAATATGTGAAAACTTAAAGAAATAGGAAAATACATTGACTTCAATTCCCACATGTGTATCAATGTTTAAAGAAGCTCTGATGATTGACAGAGTGAACCACTTACAGATTTTTTAATTGGAATAATGCAATTCTTATTTTTCAAATAGTTATGTCATTTTACATTTATAATAAACACTTATTACTTTTAAATAAAAGAAAGTAATGCACATAGATGTGGAAAGGGCAAAGAAAAGGAAAACAGGACAAAGAATCATGAAATGGTGACTGGTTTTAGGAAAAAAATCAAAGTGGAAAAGTTAAGGGGTTGCCATGATGCTGTGAGAGAAGCAACATTTCAAAAGCAGTTGCTGTGAGCTCTTAGCAAGTGGGCAGGGAGCCATGTTCACGGGTCTTCACTAGATGTTAGGTAATGGCACTGCAGCCTCCATGGTCAAGGGTGAGCAGAAGCCATTGTTACACTCCACTTTCATCTCTCATTACCTGCATTTGATTATTTGGAAAGAAGTCTTGTGGAAATAAAAGTCTAAGGTGAATATCATAAATTTTGTTTGCTAAATCTGATAAATATCTGATACCTTTTAAAGAAAGCATTACAGTTTCTTTGATTACATATATTTTAGAGTAAAATAAAATACAATTGCTAATGGAACTTATTTTGTGTTAGGAAGGAAATTAGGACTCTTCCAAACAAGATGTCATCTTTAGTTATTAAAATTACTCCTAAGTACTGATAGGCTGGCATAATGTTTTCAGTGATTTAAACAAAGCATTAACCTTTTAAAATATTTTTGATGCTCATAAGTATTCATTATTTTGATACACAAGGCAAAGGCTCTATTATATTACACAGAGCATCTTAAATATAAGCACACATTTTTTTCTCCCCCCCCCCGGGGGGAGGGGTTTCTTTTTACCTATATCTAGACCCTCCAAGTCCCCAAAGATCACCTTTGTGGAACAATGGGTCATTTATAACTGACAACAGGTAAGTAAAAAACTGCTTCCATGTTTTCTGTGGACACAAAGTTGAACTTGGCAATAGTACTGAAATATGGTTGATCCGGTGTCAAAATGGAAAAATATGCAATACACACACATACACACACACACACACACACACACACACACACACACAAACACATAAGCTAGCTCTACCACCCTGGGCCTTAAAAACATGAAGAATCAGGCTGGATGATTCAGTGGTTGCAAGTACTGGATGTTCTTCCAAAGGACCAGGGTTCAATTCCCAGCACCCACATGGCAGCTTACAACCGTCTGTGGCTCCAGTTCCAGGATACCTGACACCTTCATTCAGGTAAAACAGCAATGCACATAAATTAAAAGAAAAAAGTTATAGTTTTATATATATAGAGAGATACCATGTATATATGTTTATATATATAAACATGAAGCATCAAGCAGTCAAGGGAAGCCATCATGAAACAGAGATACATACATGCCATGGGGGGAAGTGAGCCATCTGTCATTAGTCATTAAGCTGGACATGTTCTTAGAGTACTCTGACCTTGAAGGAACCCACTGGGGTATAGGTAAGTTTGAGAGAAAGCCCACTCGTACTCCCTAGCATGACGAAGCTGTCCACTCAAACAAATCACATTTCAAAACAGTATTAAAAAGAAAAGTGCTGTTTGGTTCTGTGCTTCACCCTCTGGATAAAGAGAAAAGCTGCCTTCCAAAGGAAGAGCCAGGTACTCGGGGCAATCGACTCAGTCCAGACTATGCTACTCAAGAGCTGTCTCTAAAAATCCCATGTATAATGTCATGTTTTAGTTGAACTTACAAGTCAAAGCGGAGATTCTCTCTTTCTTCAAAGAAATAGTCCAGAATAAATTTTCTTACAAAATCAGGATTCAAAGTATTATCAATCACTTCAGTTCTTCCAAACTATAGATAAAAACAGAGAAGTCACAGAGGTTAAAACCAAACCTTACATGGTGATTTATTTCAAAGTATAGTACTCAGTTCCTTTAAAAAAAAAAAAAAGAGCAATAAATACCCAGTTGACTTGATTAGTTACAGCCCCAGAGAGAGGTGCCTAAAGGTCAAACTGCCACTCCAACGAAATAAGCATGAACTTGAGTTCCTTCCAAACTCAGCTACCCTGCATCGGATGAGTCACAGTACATCACCCTCCCTTCTGCTAAATGGAAAACCAAATTCCTTCCTAATCTAAAGAAGCCATGTATACACTAAATTTACTTTTTAAAATAAAATACTTTCAGAAAGTCAAACAGATAACGTGTATTCTTAGAGAAGACAAATACTCACAGTTCGCAGCCTCACCTTTTATAGGAAATAGTCCTTTCACACAGCAGGGCCTATTAGTCCTGCTTTAGAAAGAAGTTTCTGGTAATCTATTCTACACTTCACAGCACAAACATTACTTAATCCCATTCAGATCAACAAGTTAGAATGACATCTACCAATCTTGTATGCTTCTAAAAATTGGGTAATACTTCTTCAGCTTAGAAAAATACGTTTCCCCATTTTGAGAAAGTAGAAATCAGGGAACGAAAGTGCACTCTAGGCCTGTCTCCTTTGCATCTGAAGGCAAGCCACTAGACAGTTCTCCTAAAGACAGCACTAACACACACATCACAATCGCTTTTACCCTCCGCTAAGAGTCTTCACCTCCAGCTGTCATTTTAATGAGCGGATTTTAACCTTAGCTGTGAATCTATTATGCAATCAAGCAGGCAGGCTGTCTTGCTAGAGAACTTATTTTTATTAAAGTTCCAGGAAGTATTATCTTTTTAATAGGAAAATGAAGAATCAAGCTCATCCATTTAATATGAAAGGCCAGGGGCTTTCTTAAACTGTGTGTTAAAATGATTATATAAAATACTTATGCCAACTAAACACTGCCTCACAAAGAAATAATTTGCCCCTGGACAATATTTTATATCGTGGACCAATATCGCATGGACAAACTGTAATCCAACCATTACGCTCGTATATGAAGTGTGCCCCTGCAAAAGGCTTATATGGTTACAGGTTGTTCTCCAGCTTGTGGGACCATTTTAAAGGTTCTAGAAAATTCAGGAGGTGAATCAATTGGACAAATCAAGTCACTGGAGACAAGACTTTGGGGATAGTTTATTCACGGTCCCTCCCTCCCTCCCTCCCTCTTTCCCTCCCTCCCTTCCTTCCTGTGTCTTTTTTATCTGCTGGCTGGCTGCCATGATGTAAACTATTTGCTCTGTGTGTCTTCTGACCACAATGAACAGCTAGCCTAGGAAACAAATTCTGCCTTAGGCTGCTTATGTAAGGAATTTTGGTCACAGTGACTATGCCAGAGAATGGGGCTCTTGCTGTGACTAAGCCTGATACAGGGTGCCTAGACCTTTAGAACCAGTTTGTAGGGAGAACATGGAAGAGTTTGGAGACATATACAAGAAGAGCTTTTGAGTATTGTAAACAAAGCTTAGTAGGTGGTCCTATTAGGAACTCAGAAGACCAGAATACTGACAGAAATGTGGACAGTAAAAGTTCTTGTGAGAATTACATTGGAAATTGGACCTGAGGTCATTCCTGCTACATTCTAGAAAAGGAATTAATCTATAATTTGCTCATGCCATAAATGAAACTGAATTTCAAAATAATGGGCTAATTGGGTGGCTAAAATCCCAAGACACTATACATTTGTGCTATTGCATGGTCTTTGATGGCTATTTAGGAGTCAAAAGTGGAAAATAAAGCAGAGCAAAGAGATTTGGTATTTGGATTTCTCTTATGAGAAAAGGAGTGAGCTGGAAACTCAGATAAGGCAGAGTACAGTTGCTAAAGAGAGAAGCATCATTAAAAAGAAGCTGAGTACCCAGGTGTGGTGAAACACCCAGGAGGCAGAGAGACCGACAATCTCTGTGAGATCCATGCCAGCCAGAATGACAGAGTGAGACCCTGTTTCAAAACAAACAAAAATAAAATAGCCCAAACAAAAAGGAAAGCCATTCACTTTGTGTGAGCACAATTGAAATGATGCCCTGAGTGCATCTCAGGAATACGCCAGAAGCTACTTGCTGTAGGATCCATGGTGCATAATTGTAAATTAACTTGAAACATGTTTCCTTGAGAAGAGAGAGTCTCCGGGGTGGCATCCATACAGGGCCATCTGAACAGGTTCCTCCTGTGTTCAGACACCCACAGGCTCAGAAACAGCTGTAACCATGGTCCAAGGCAATATGGACCCACACAGCTTCCCACTTAGGGAGACAAAACAGTTTCCAAACTAAAGTGGAAAGTCTTGAGCTAGCAAACTATGACATTCCAACAGAACTCCACCATTAACCATGTTCCCCAATGCCCATCCCTCATTTGGACTTCAACCCAAATCTATACTGAGAAGGAAACTGGAAGATAAGACTGAAATTTCCAAGCAGAGTTTCCACTGAATTGGCAGCCCACAATCCCTCAACTCAGCAGCCACTAACGCCCTTCCAGGTCTGGTTTTTGTGAGGAGCGGTGGAGGCTGGGTATAGTCTGCCTGCTCTACTGAAGATTAATGTGCAGATCTTAAAATCCTGGTTTCAGTTAATCATCTATAAATCATTACTCTATCTATCTCAATATATCTTCTGAAATATGGCCCTGAAAATTGCTTTGGGGAGATGTCAGCCACAGCCTTCATGTGGCTTGACTCAGTGCCAATTTGGGGCCCTCACCTCACTAGGCCTCTCAGCCTATCTGGAATAGCCGATCACTCCATCCTTTCTGAAGCATGCTTTCCCAGCTTTTTGCTTCCATACTTGACTACATTTTCCGTGCACTTACATCCTTAGACATTCAATCCCCCCCTTTACAGAGCATATTTCTATGTTCTCATCTCCCCACAGGAAGATAGATGGTGCCATGTGTCCTTGTTGTATTCAAATGTTGTTTTCATCTCTAAAAGTCAAGTGTTGTCTTGTGATGGTATAAGGGTCATGAAGTCTCCTCCCCCTGAAAATGGGATTAAGGCCCATCCCTTGCCTGCTTCTACCTTTGCCCATGGGAGACAGATGCACTCTCTCAGGCAGTGAAGTGTTTAGGCTGTTTTGCGTTTCTCTGTTTGACCCCTTCGTAGTCAAGGAAGTAAGGAAACTTGATAGGACTGTTGGTCTTAGACATTAATCTTGTGTACCCTGTATGACTTGCAAACTTCACTGTATCTTGGCCACTACAATTGTATTAATCCTGGCAATTGCCATTTTATTCTGTTTCTGATAAAAGTATAAAACATCTGGCTGCTCTCAATAAAATTGTCACAGCTCCAGTTGTGCTGTGGCCCCTCTAACCAGCCTGATTTAATTCTTTGCAGCCATATCAGGTGACCTCGGCCTGGTAAGTAAACATGGACGCTTACACACAATGGTCTACTGCTATCCATATTTCCTACTTTCAATTTAAATTCAAGTTTTATCATGGACTATCTCAATGGTTTTGAATTCCTATCTCTGTCTCCACTTCTATTTTCACTGCAGATTATCCCCATCCAACAACCAGAGCTGTCAAATAATATAAATACTATGCCATTATGCCAGCAGACTAAGAGAGCCGATGGTTTCACAGAGCACACAAGATAAACTCTTTTGGGTCTATAAGACTTGGCTCCTCTCAGTGATAATTAGTACATTTTAGATGTATTTTATTTAATTTATTTGTCTATCTGGCCCTCATCACCTCACTCAGTATGATTTTATTGAGTTCTATTTTTCTGAAATATTCATTAATAAGCATATTGATCTCATTTTCATCATCCATTCATCAACTGATGGATATCTGAACTAGTTTCATTTCCCGGCAATTGTAATAGAGCATTAATGAACATTGATGGGCAAGTATCTATATAAGAGGACACAGAGCCCTCTGAGTATGTTACCAGGAGTGGTATAGATAGCTCCTACAGCAGATCAATTTTTACGTTTCTGAGAAACTTCCATGTTGATTTCCAGAAGAGCTGTATCAGTTTATACTCCCACCAATAAGAATAAGAGCTCCCTTTCCCCATATCCTTGCCAGCATAATATGGTTTTTTTATGATAGCCTTTCTGACTGATGTGAGACACCGCTTCAAAGTTGTTTTCATCTGAATTTCCCTGTATAATTGAGGATGTCGAAAGCTTTTAAGATATTTGTATTTCTTCTTTCAAGAGCTCATTGTGTAGTTTCACAGTGCATTTATTGACTAGATTGTTTGGTTTCTTGATGTTAAGTATTTTTATCTCATTGTCTATTCTACATGTTAACCCCTCAGTCAGATGGACATTTGGCAAGAATTTTTCTTCCATCCAAAGGGCTGACTCTTCACGAGATAATTTCTTTTGATGTATAGAAACTTTATATTTTCATGAAGTTTGATTCCCTTGTCTTTTTCAGAAAGTGCTTTTCAATGACTATATCTTAAAGGATCTACCTAATTTTCCTCAAGAAGTTTCAAGGCTTTGGTTCTTACATTGATGCCATTGATCCTTCTGGAGTTGATTTTGTACATGGTTAGAGATAATAATCTATTTTTATTCTAGTGTTTAGATATTCAGTTTTTCCAGCACCATTTGTTGATAGTGCTGTATATTGTCTCCAATTTGTTGGGGGCATCTTTGTCAAAAACAGGTAGCTATAGTTGAGTGGACTCATGTTTGGCTTCTTTGTTCTATCCAACAGATCCACACTTCTGTTTTTATGCCAGTCTCATGATGTTTTTATTAGTATGACTAATAATTCAAGGATGGTGGTGGTAGCACTGTCTGGGCTCAGAATTGCTTTGACTATCTGAGGACCTCTGTGCTTCCATATGAATTTTAAAACTGTTTTTCTCTATGTCTGTGAAGAATGTCATTCCAACTTTGATTGCATTGAATCCGTAGGTTGCTTTTAGTGGGATGGTCATATTCACAATATTAATCCCA